CCAAAAAAAAAAAAAAAAAAAAATAGGCGACTTTAAAACCCAACGCTGGATCGCACGCTGATCGTAAAAACCGTATGACGATACGCGTGGCAGGTCCAGTGATGATTATCATCGATATCGTAAAGGCGATTTTCATTCTGTTTAATCGCGTCTACAGTACGATCAAATAGCTCTATCGGAAACACGTTAGACAGTCAATAAACCCCGGGTGGCAGTATGACGTCGCGACGCTTTTAGATCGGAAGCTATGTAAAATTTACATGCGTCCCGGGCTATATGGTATATATGTATATATACATATATATTTGAAATTTCACTGTGATACCGCGGGGATCTCAATTCATCCGCGGTTAATTCAAATTTTTTTTTTTTCAAATTTTCTTTCACTCGTTTTACCCTGTTATCACTCGCGGAATTTTCGCGTCCTGTTATCATACCGGCCGATTTACGATTTCGGAGACTCTTACACGCGAGACTTTCCCTGTTGGTCCGTGTCTCCTTTTATCGTCGCTGCTAACGGGTGACCATTTCGTACGGGTAAATTTTAAGGGGAAAAAAAAAAACTACCCCCGGGTCAGAGTGGTATCGGCCCGCTTACTCTTTACCCCTATGGCTTTCGGGACGAAAAATCTTTGGAATTTACAAGGCTCGATCTTTATCCAGCCCCTCTCCCATCCCGTCCTTGAATTTCGTAGGTGTCTCGAGACTTTATTATCATTTCATAAAAATATTTCAAAATTTTCATCTTCCACATATTTGGACTCTATACGCGTGGTTCGAAAGTCCCTGCTGTATAACGGGTGTTGCTGGGAATTACTTTTTTTTTTTAACGAGTTTTTCATTAACACACACCAAGTCCGTTGTCTATTTCACGGTTAGGCAATATTTTCGAACGGTGACCCGTATATGCATTAATTCATGAGTGGTAATTAAAATTGTGTACTTTATCCGCGCGTTGTTACACGAAATAATTATCAGCGCGATACGAGTGAAAAATTATCGCGCATACCATTAGGTAGCATATATATATATACGGGCTGGTTAAAAAGCCTCCCGAAGTATCACGAACTTTCCCGAACCTAACCGAGCCCTCTGTCTGCTCCGAACATACATCATCATTAACACGCATCTGACCCGCCTATATGCAACTTCTACATTTATATATATATATACACACCACGTGTCTATATATGGCATCCGACAATGCCTCGGCTCACGGGCGGGGGCTGCCTCTTTTGTTTTCTATATACTCGTAACCGTTCGGAGCGGCTTGGAGTAATTAAATTTTTAGATAGCTCAGCTACCGTTTCCCCATGTACCTCTCTCTCGCACTCACCGTTCCACCCGTATGCCATTGTACTCTCTCTCTCTCTCTCTTTCTCTCCTTCCCTTACACCATCGCCAACAAGAGATCCGTCCTTTGTCTCGAATTATTCGCGGATCCGTCATACCGTAATTAGCCTCGCGGCCGGATAATTAATCCGTGCCTTTTGGCACGTTTGATTTTCAAGATTTTCCTTCAATCTCCATTTGGCCTACAGGGAGCGCGTATCCCATCCTAATCGCATGCCAGTGGCGTAGACGACTGATAAAAATTTTGATCTCGAGAACACGTAAGATACATGACCCTCTTATCCCTCTCAGCCAATTCTACAGGGTGTCCCGTCGGTATCACTGTACGTTTGTCCTCCGTGCTCCAGCGGGAGTTTCCCACCAAGTTTACCGCTCTGGTGGAACTTTAATAAGCAGAAATGTATTATGGACCGAAGACACGTAGAAAATGATGCTGAGTAATAGGAGGGAAAAAGATGAGGGAGATAGAACTGGAAATTGTATATGAGTGTAATTAAACTTATTACCAATCGAACTTATCCAAGTACCCTGTATATCGGGTGAATCTGTGAATATTTTGTCCGATTTTAGGATTTCGCAATTTTCAAATCGCGTCGATCGGAAACGTCGAAGCACCCTAATGGCGGTGCTTCAGATCACTCTCTGGATAAAAATTTCATAACTTCACGCGTATACGTATACATACAGTTCGTTTTTACCGTTAAAAGAAGAAATTTTTGGATTCCAAAAGAGAATCGTAGATCCTCGGTGTCTGTCGACATATTCACCTCCCGACGATAAAACAGGGTAATCGATTTCTCTCAATAATCCGACGTTCTTACCTGGTAGACAAATATTATGAGTACACCGTGAAAACGGGATTCTCGGTAAGATGTATCTGTTTATTTTTTTTTTTTTTTTCGGGAACTTCTTTTTTTCTCCGATAACGATCCACCGACACAACGATATGGGAATATTGCTCGGCGAAGTTCCGCCTCCGATCGTTAAGATCCGAACGTTGCTTATCGATGGACCCGGTATCTCCGTATCTGCCGTGCTTTCTCTGTTCGCGCGAGATGAGTGCGAGAGAGAGAGAGAGAGGGATGGGATGGGATGGCGAGATGGAAGGAGATGAAAAAAAAATAGCGTTTCGAATTTTGGTCTGTCGATATATAGATACCACACTTGTTATCTTGTCACGCTTATCTACCCCCCCCC